TTGATTTCCAAAGAAAAAAGGAAATCGAAAGATAATTTCGATGTAAACGAATTATTAGAGTTCTTGAAAACGGAAATTGAGTGCCGCGAATCCATGCTACAAATTCAAGATAAAATAAACAACCATAATTCGAGCCACTTTCCTAAAGAAAAAAAATAAATAAAATTTCTATTCCAACGGCTGCTGTGTTAAAGGTTTCAATTAACAGCTGCATATTTTGCGAGGATTCAGAAAAAGAAAAACATACTTCCGAATGCTTGCCCGAAGTCTGTAACAGACAGAAAGGCGTCACTTCGGAAAACTCGGAATGTGTTATTTATGCCTTAAAAGGGGTAACCATTTGGCAAAAAATTGCTTTTCGAAGATAAAGTGTGATTCATGTGGGTGGAAACACAACAGTTTAATCTGTGACAGAAATAGTTTAGATGAGAAAAAATCAAATAAGAAGGATCTCAATTTGACGAACAAATCATGTTTAGAGAAAGTTTTATTACAAACTTTAGTTGTAAGAGTGCGTGGCAATGGTCCAGAAAAATACTGCCGCTGTTTTAATTGATTCTGGGAGTCAACGAAGCTATGTATCTAAATTCTTAGCTAATGCTATGCAGTACGAATGTATTAACGAAAGCAGTGTGATTCATAGTCTGTTCGGAGGAACTGAAGTGGTTGAAACTCATAAACAGTTCGTTGTACGTTTAAGTAGTATCAAAAACGATTATCAGTGTAACTTCAAAGCTTTTGATCAAGCGAATATTTGTTCTGATATTCCACAATTGAACATCAAGCCTTATTTAAATGAGTTAAAAACCCATAACATATTTTTGAATGATGTTGAAGGTAGGCATAAAAAATTGTTGTTCGAGCATTCTCCTTCTGAAATTCATATCCTCATAGGCGCAGACATAGCGGGAAAATTGCTTACAGGGAAAATAAAGAAGTTAGAATGTGGATTAGTTTGCATTGAAACTTATTTAGGCTGGAGTATCATGGGGAAAATTCCCGTAGAAATGGAAAATAAATATGATTGTTCTTATGCATTTTCTATGTTAGTATCAGATAGTAAAATTTCTGATTTATGGAAACTTGATACTCTTGGGATATTAGACCCTTCAGAAAGTCAAACTAAAAGGGAATTAGAAAAACAAACAATGACACATTTTCTTTCCAATGTGAAAAGAGATGAAGAAGGAAGGTTTCAAGTTTGTTTACCTTGGATTGAAAATCGTTCCCTACTTCCAAACTATCGAGAAATAGCAGAAAAGAGATTAAAGAGCACAGTGAAGAATTTAAGGGATGGGGGATTTTTAGAAGATTATAACGCAATTTTTAAATCTTGGGAAGATGATAAAATAATAGAGATTGTTCCTGAGGAAGAAGTTAATAACCCCTCTCATTATTTACCCCATCGTGCTGTTATTCGAATGAATTCCACCACGACAAAAATAAGACCGGTTTTCGATGGATCCGTAAGAACTAAAGGATCACCCTCCGTAAATGACTGTTTGGAAAAGGGTCCAAATTTGATTGATACTGTTCCAGCTATAATAAATAGATTTCGACTGGGAAAAATTGGCGTGAGCGCTGATATTAAGAAGGCTTTTCTGCAGATAGCACTTAATCCTAAAGACAGAGATTATTTAAGATTTTTTATGGTGGGAACAGGGAAATTCTGAGCGTTTGAAAATATACAGGCATAGAAGAGTGGTCTTTGGAATAACCAGCAGTCCATTTCTCTTAAATGCAACACTAACGAAATTAATGAATGAAGTACCAGAAAATTATCGTGCGAGTGCTAATAAATTAGTAGAATCCTGGTACGTTGATAATTTAGTTACAAGTGTGAATGATGAATCAGAATTAAAGAAGTTAAAAAATGATGCCACTGAAATTTTGGCAAGTGCTAAATTTGAATTACAAGAGTGGGCATATAACTATCCTCGAAATAAAAGGGATGCATTTGTTGTTGAACCCATTTTAGAACAGTCGAAGCTTGATAAATTAAATGAGAATGAGTTTTTCGATGATCCTTGTGAAGCTAAAACGGTCAACATTTTGGGACTTCTTTGGAATTTGCATGATGACACATTAAGTTGTGATATTAAGGGATTAAATGAATCAAAAAACAAACCTGTTACTAAAAGAACAATTTTGTCTGAAATTCATAAAATTTATGACCCTATTGGATTCACCTGCCCTATAATTTTAATTCCTAAAATTCTGTTACAAAACTGCTGGGAATTAAAAGTAACTTGGGATGAAGCTCTTCCTGAAGAAATTCAAAGGAAATACATGAAATGGAAAAATGATGCAAATCGTTTAACAGAAATAAAAATTCCTCGACAGATGATGCTTAATATTGATTCTGAATTGAAATTATCCTTTCATATATTTTGTGATGCATCCCGAATGGCATATGCAACCTGCGTTTATTTAAGAAATGAAAATGAAAATGAAGTTTCTTGTCATTTAGTTCAAGCACGATCTAGAGTTGCTCCTCTAAAACCCACATCAATTTGTAGACTAGAATTATTAGCTTGTGTTGTTGGTGCAAGATTAATGAAATCTATAAAACAAGATTTGAAGGAAGAAAATATACCTACGTTTTATTGGACAGATTCAAGGAACACATTGTACTGGATTAAGAATGAAGAAAATTGGGGTGTATTTGTTATGAATAGAGTGAAAGAAATACGAGCTCTTATACTAATCCTGATACATGGAATTATGTTCCTGGCAACTTGAATCCTGCGGATATTCCGTCAAGAGGATGTTCTGTTGAAACTATTAAAGCCAAAAGATGGCATGAAGTTGAATCCGGACTGTTGGCCTACTTGTGATATTTCTCCTGACAAAGATATGATTGATCGAGAAAGAAGAAAAACAGTTGTATCCTCGTTAACAAATGTAGATGAAGAATTTTCGCATTTCTCACGAATTTCTTCTTTTGAGAAAATAATTAGAGTTACAGCCTGGATAAAAAGGTATATTGACAACTGCAGAGATAAAAATAGAACAACGTCAAAGAACTTAGAAATCGAAGAATTGAATGCAGCTGAAGTCCTTGTTTGGAAAATTGTGCAAAGGGTCTCCTTTAAAACAGAAAAGGATAAACGCTTACGAAATTTAAAACCATTTGTTGATTCATCTGGTCTTTTAAGAGTAAAGTCAAGAATATTAATGAGACAAGACTTCGAAAATTTTAGAACACCTGTAATCCTACCTCCTGAACATCCAGTTGTCTCTAAACTGATTATGGAAAAACATGAACAACAAATGCATTGCGGAACTCAGACTTTAATGGCAATGCTACGAGAAAATTTCTGGATTTTGAAAAGTCGTAAAACTATTCGTAAAGTGTTGAAAAACTGCACTAAATGTAGAAGATTTGATTCGAGGCCCTCCACGGTACAATCCGCACTTTTGCCAAAGGACCGTGTTAAAGTTTCTTCTATTTTTGAAGTGATAGGTATCGACTTAGCTGGCCCTTTGTTTTTAAAAAAGGTGGATTTTGGGAAAGAATGATTGGCCTTATGAAAAACATTCTCAGAAAAGTTTTAGGTAATGCCTCACTGAAATATGAAGAACTCTATACGATCCTCTGTGATTGCGAAAATATCTTAAATTGCAGAACCATTAACTTATATTTCCGAGGACTTGGAACTGGAACCCTTGACACCTGCAATGTTTTTTCGTGATCTAAAAGAAAGTGGCGTTCCAGATCTAGATATTATTGATGCCAAATACTTACAAAAAAGGTATGCATATCAGATGAAGGTTAGAGAAGATCTAAGAAAACGGTTCAGAACTGAATACTTAGGACAACTGAAAAACCATATTTTAAAAACAGAGAAATATGTTAAACTATCGGTTGGAGACATTGTGTTAATAGAAACACCTGAGAAAAGAATTAAGTGGCCTCTAGGAAAAATTATAACACTCATCCCAGAAAATGATGGTGTAGTTTCGTTTAGTAAAATTACGCACCAAAAGTGGCGAAATCCTTCGACCCATACAACGAAATTTATCCGTTGGAAGTCCATTTACAAACGGATAATATAGGAGACTGTTTGAGAAAGAAGCATTCTGATAAAAAAATGTGTGATAAGCCTGCAACTTCTATTGGATCTTACAGAGTTTTCGTGCCACTGACAAAGATCAGTCAGATGAAGTCAATCAGAAATCCCCTCAAAACAACTAGATGTGGACGAGTGATTCGAACTCCATGAACGATTAGAACCTCATGAAACTTTCAACCAGACTGTGGCTGAGTTTCAACTTGGTGAAACTCATCGGGGGAGCGCAAACAACGCACGCTCCGCTCTTGGGAACGGATTGAGCCTCCAGACCGACGAGAATTGAAAAAGAAAGTTTGTTTGTTTTTGAGAACTGGCAACGATAAGTTGTATGCTTTTAGAACAGTGACGCAGTAGACTAATGACGCTGTTAGATATGTAGAACACTGATGCTAAGTAGTTAGAAGTGTTTTTGATAGTGTAATGATTTAGATATTGTTCCTCTTTGTGTCAGATGTCAAATAAAGTAATTCATACAAAAAAGTGCCAATTTTAGATGAGTTTGGAACCAAATCGGAGTCTACTAAAGCGGCGGACCAGAATCGAAGAAAGCGGATCATAAAGGTAAGCAACCTTTCTTTATTTGCTTATCTAGAATTTTGAATGATCTGTTTTTTACTGAATTGAAACGATAGAGCTAATCAAAGTGCATCCAACACGCTCGGAGTCACAGCTCGTAATTGCACGCCGAAATGAAATTATTCCTCAGCATCCAGTTGCAGCTATCATCCAACTGTTTCACGCACCAGCTACGAATAATCCAAAGCCAAAATTGCTATATTTTCGATTCAATCTACGATAAATCGCTCATCTAACTTCTACAGCTCATCGTTATAATTGCATCAAGATTTACACGCCTTATTGCTATCTATAATCTTCAATATTTAATTTTAGGACTTTCATGATATGCTACGCAAATTTAAAGGTATGCACACCATCTTACGTTGCTAAACACAGGGTAGGAAAGTGTTCCAGGAACTTGACGGCGTGACTTCGTCGCTTAAGATAAGGGTAGCCGAAAGTAGAGGGAGGGGCGAGGGACAATTTCCTGCTGAAGTCTAAAGTCAGGAAATAGAAAGATTTTTTTTTTTCAGTGTTAAAGTAATATAAAGGTATTTTAATTTTAAGATTAAGTTTACGAAAATGAACTAGTATCAGTATTGGAGTAAGTATTAATTATTACTGAAATTATTTAGTTCTTCGAGCATTAAAAAGATTATGCGCATTTTTTCCATTATAGTGTTAGCCTTTCTAAATTCCTTTAGATTTTTATTTATTAAATATGTCATTTCTGAGAGTGTATTCCAAAAGATTGATTCAAGCTCTTTAAGAGCTTTAATAAATTCTAAAAATCCTAAAGATTGATAAGATGTGGAAGATTGTGCATTTTTTCTTTATTTTGGAGCTGTAAAAGCTTGCAGATTGAGTCTGATTAGTGTTGTCTAAGTGTTGAGGGTTTGAGCAATGTGTTTTGTTTGCATCAATATCTGAAAAAAGTTTTGTGGAATGTATGATTTTGGTTTAGGGAATTTTGAACAACCACGGTACGTAGGTGACGAGGACGCCTGGTGGCTACCAGAGATAAACAGGCACGTCTCCCTTGCCTTCCACTATCTAGTGACAACAACTCCCTGGGGCCTCGAGGGACCACACCGGGAGTTTTTTGAGAACACAAAAGGAGTTTACATGAACAAACAGGAGCGACTTTTGACATTGCTTGATTAATTACAGGTATGAGACTTGTGGGGCGGATTTACAGATGCGGGGCTCAGAGCTAAGTACTAAATATATGAAAACACAAAAAACCCTAGTAACCAACAAGCACGGTAAGACGCTGGATGGGAATTATTGCTATTTACACAAAGGGGATTTTCAATATGTCCTTTATGTGGGCAGAGTGAAGTTTTATGTTCGCCGGCACTTTTTGCGCATCTAGGAATAAGAAAGCAGTTTTCAGACGAATTGTGCCATTTTTGGAACAGGTACCTGTACAGGTAGCCATCCTGTAACACGGTTTCGCTATCACACGAATCATAAATCGCGAGAACTCTCCTACAACACGGTTTTACTCTAATACTATAAGAAAATTGCCCAAGCAATCCCAAGAAATTTAACGAATTCCGCACGACGTTTTTCCATATCGAGCAGAGCACAAACATAGTCCCCTTTGAATACGGTAGCCGAAATATAGGCCAGATTTGCAGGGTCTAAAAAAACGGCTGTGACCCAAATATCGGTCAGAGATATTCTGCCCCGGGTATAGTCATTATCTGACAACCTTTCCTGCCACTCGTCCGATCACCTTCGCCCTATTCTTCTATCTGAAAACTGACAAAAGCGACACCCTAAAGGAAAGGTTTCAAAAGAGTAGTAGTTTCACATTTTAAATGGCAGTTGAAGAGGGGGGAAGTAACATCCCTATTTTCCGTCTAAGTAAATTTTTCCAAACTTTTCAGTCTTTTAAGGGTATACGAATCCTTATTTCGTAAGTCCTGCCAGTTATCTTCCAAGATCCGGTTCCCGTAAGAACAAAAATCCTCATGGAGTCGAGCCACATAATGAAAACCGACCGTTAACTTTTTAAACGGTAACAAGGGAAAATCGTTTCTTTCCATGACCGTCAGTGTGCCCACTTTGGGCACACCCACAGAATTAAAACGATAAATGACACAATTTTACTTGTGTACTCCTCTAGGCCTAATTAGACTGCCTATCTTTTCTTTTTTTTTTTTAATCAAAACTCCGACTTTAAAAGGTAGCGCGCCGGAAAGGATTAAGGGCCTCATCGACATCTGGATCCTTGCATTCACGCTTCCGTTTTTTGGAAGTTCCTCCTCGTCCTTCACATTGTGCCCATTCTTCTAGCAGCTCATTCTCTTGTTTTATCAAGCGCAAAATTGTAGTCTTTGCCAATCCGGTAATTTCCACTAACCGACGCTGACTAGTGTTTCGTGGTTGTTGTTTGATCTTTTCAACAACAGTTTGATCAGTTCACTGACTGAAGTAATCTGAAGAAACTTTCGTGTTTCGGGGTTAAGATGTTGAGGTCAAGACAGAGATAAAATGGTCGCCATTCAAATTACCCCAAAAGGGGTAAAATCTTCCCAAAAGGGTGGTGAAATTATAGCTTTCTCGTGTAAACTTTAATCATGATTGATAGGCGGGAATTCCTTTCAGGTGGAGCCGGACACTCTATCGTTCCTTTCCTCGAAAATCGGAGACGCAGTGGGACCAATAACCTCGTTGGCGGCTACTGGTGGCTCTGCTTTAAGAAAGGTCAAAGAAAATGGTTCACCTCCCACTGGTTTGTTCTTTTCGTGCACTTTGAGGAATTTCTGACCTTTGATAAAGATTTCTCCAGGGGAGCGCAGCTACAGATCCTCCCATATGTCACGGACCACTTGTACATCTACTGTACGCGGCCGACTTGTGGCTTCTGTTTCTTATTCGCTCTCACGTTTGTTTTGGTCGATTAAACGGAATTTTGGTCCAGATAAGCGAATAATATTAGGTTTATCTACATACAATTTGTTTCGGCTCTTTAGGATTCGGTCCGAAAAAGCGTCTGGTCCGATTATCTGGTGGTCCAATTAACCAGATTCGACTGTATTATGAACTCAGATTTATTTAATGCATTTACTTTATGCTTTTGTTTGCATGTGCAATGTCTAATTTTTTGCATAATTCATTTGGCAACTTTCAACCTGTAGTTAAGAAACACTGTTCTAAAGAAATTAAAAATATCATGTTAACGTTTGTCTTCGCTTCACACTTTGAAAAGGTAATAAATGCTTTCCTGGTTGTAGAATGCTGAATAAATTAAGTTTTCATGCTTAAATTAATTTCATGTTTAAATTAAGATGCTCTGCATCTCTGAATGATTAATACTATAACAATATTCAACTATCAGGAATCTCGTTAATCTCGGTTTGTGACACTGGGTCAGTAGCCACGCTTATTAATGAAAAACATACCGCAAGATTGGTTCTCCACCATTACATACCTCCAGAATTATGTTCTCAGGAATCGGCCGAACAAAGCATTGGATTCCTTCAAAACTCAATTGAAATTCAAAACACTATTCTACCTGATAAAATCCATGTAGTAAAAGATGACATGATTTCTCTTGATGCGATTATTGGAATTGACATTTTGCAACAAACTCATTTACATTTGATAAAGACGATATTCATTTATGCAACAGTAATGATGTTTTGTTAACATTGCTAATATTACCGATAATCAACCCTTTCCAGTTGATCATTCCCATCGAATTCTGGAATTCACGAAGAAGTTCAACATATCGTTATTACTTACAAACCCGATAAAGTTGATTCTGCTCTGAAAGATTTTAAATTAATGATCGAAAATGCAAGTCAATTGAAGAAAACAGTTACGGATGATGATGATGATGACGATTTGGAATTGTATTTGGATGATGACAACATG